TTATGTTTGATGTTTTCTGTATAGATGTCACATTGGTTTGTGTTAACCTCGTCCTGTCGTCACTGTGTCAGACTGTTTATATTTGATGTTTTCTTTATATATGTAACATTGGTTTGTGTTAACCTTGTCCTATCGTCACTGTGTCAGACTGTTTATGTTTGATGTTTTCTGTGTATGTTGTAACATTGGTTTGTGTTAACCTTGTCCTATCGTCTCTGTGTCAGACTGTTTATGTTTGATGTTTTCTGTGTATGTTGTAACATTTGGTTTATGTTTGCGCTCGTCCTATCGTCTCTGTGTCAGACTGTTTATGTTTGATGTTTTCTGTATAGATGTAACATTGGTTTGTGTTAACCTTGTCCTATCGTCACTGTGTCAGACTGTTTATGTTTGATGTTTTCTGTGTATGTTGTAACATTGGTTTGTGTTAACCTTGTCCTATCGTCTCTGTGTCAGACTGTTTATGTTTGATGTTTTCTGTATAGATGTAACATTGGTTTGTTTTTACGCTCGTCCTATCGTCTCTGTGTCAGACTGTTTATGTTTGATGTTTTCTGTATCAGTGTAACATTGGTTTGTGTTAACCTTGTCCTATCGTCACTGTGTCAGACTGTTTATGTTTGATGTTTTCTGTGTATGTTGTAACATTGGTTTGTGTTAACCTTGTCCTATCGTCACTGTGTCAGACTGTTTATGTTTGATGTTTTCTGTATATATGTAACATTGGTTTGTGTTAACCTTGTCCTATCGTCACTGTGTCAGACTGTTTATGTTTGATGTTTTCTGTGTATGTTGTAACATTGGTTTGTGTTTACGCTCGTCCTATCGTCTCTGTGTCAGACTGTTTATGTTTGATGTTTTCTGTGTATGTTGTAACATTGGTTTGTGTTTACTCTCGTCCTATCGTCTCTGTGTCAGACTGTTTATGTTTGATGTTTTCTGTATCAATGTAACATTGGTTTGTGTTAACCTTGTCCTATCGTCACTGTGTCAGACTGTTTATGTTTGATGTTTTCTGTATATGTTGTAACATTGGTTTGTGTTTACTCTTGTCCTATCGTCTTTATGTCAGACTGTTTATGTTTGATGTTTTCTGTGTATGTTGTAACATTGGTTTGTGTTAACCTTGTCCTGTCGTCTCTGTGTCAGACTGTTTATGTTTGATGGTTTTTGTTGAATTATGGCCACATGTCGGTATTTTCTTTGTTGTTTTTGCTTGGAGGACTAATCTTATCTGATCCCACAATTAACCCCAATCAAATATCGTTCGGACAAGGTCTGAGGTTTTCCTGTTTTTTCTTTTTCTCTCTCTCTCTTTTAATCTATTATGACTGTCGTAGTCGTGACAGAATGATTTATCTAGCTTTTGATGTTCATAAATCTTAATTTCAGGTTGACATATCTGTAGTACTGGAAGATATATATAGTTGTGTGTTCCTTGCAGGTATAAAGAAGAATCTCGGCCTGTATAATAGCATTTCTTTCACACTATCGATCGCAAAAGTAGTTTCACAGGCCGAGGGCGTCTACATATTGAAAGCTTGTCTAATTTTCTGTCGTTTGTTCGAAGAACATCGAACAGATCTTGTCTTATTTAGTTCCCTTTTTAAGTATTGGAAATATAATATTTTCTAATCATCCCACATTGGCACATTTGATACCAATATATAGATGGTAATTATATCTCCAAATCAATTAAACGAAGTCAAATATTAACGAAAACAGATCTACAATGAGGTAATTATAACATGTGTCATGTGAATAAGCTTAGATATCAAAGAAAAACAACGTGGGAATATTTATTTTAACAGTGTATCTCTAGGAAATGTCCATACAGGAATGGTGTATCACCAACAAACCATGTACTGACAAACGCCTTTATCTCTTTGAAATATTCGTTAGTAGTGTTTCGGTACATTGGCAGTTACTAAGGTCCAACGCAGATGCTGGAGACTTGGGTGTAAATTTCGACAAACGAAAGATCATGGCTTTAATATTACGATTTCTTGATAGTAAGATGTCCAAAACATCGGTGGAGTTGGTGTTGATTTTCATTCCAATATTCCGTTACTTCTTTATTCTTCTTCTTTGTATTCAATTTATTGACCGGTAAGACTGCATTGCTTTATCTCAACATTGTTAGTCAGAAGCTGATGGCGTTTTCACTAAATTAATATGTCTACTGGATGATTTCCTGTTTCACCCACAAAGACAATACATCATAGCGTCTCTCTCTCGCCCGTATCTCTGATCTAAGTGACATTCTAATTTGAAGAAAAAAATATGATGACGACTTTTCCTGTGGTGTATTGCAAACATCACTTTCCGTTGTTTTTTTTTCCTTGTCAGTGATTAAATATTTCGGATATTATACTCAATGTGCATTGCGTCATCAAGAAGGACCGAATGTTATCGTTGATTATGTTTTGACTTGAAGTCATACGACAGATGTATTTCTGTGAATGTCACGTGTTGTATACATCACTGTCTGTGTCATCGTTCTGACACAATTTCATAGTTTCATTTGTCCAGCGTGTTTCCATTCGATTTTTGGGAATAGTGTCTACCAAATAAAGAAGCAATCACACAATTACGTCTTATATGCGTCTCGTGTAATTACCAATCGCTAAGCTTCGGGCATTGATTCGCGTCGATGTTACAGTGGTCCACCTACATTGCCGTAGAGATGACAAGGGGGCTACCTGTTAAAACCTGCCATCTAGAGGCCAGTAATTGCATTACTCAATAGCGAGATATTGGCAGTCTGGTTATGTGCTATATTGCCGCACTAGATCTAATAAAATTAGAATTGAATGTACCACCTTTTCAAAAGTGACCCACTTTAACCGCCGAGATGTTATAAGGCTGCCAGGAATTAGTCCTTTATCGGCGACTACCGCTATCATTGTATCAGGTTTCAAATAGATCACATTAAAATTTATACATTAATTATCTCTTTTTATTCAAGAATTCTTGTTAGAAAATGTTATGAAAAAATACCTGAACCTCCTTATTTCGAACTCGTATAACTCAAAGTCCCAATTTGATGCGAATTATTTCGACGATCCAAACTTCATTCACACCAAATGTTCGAACTCACTTAAATCGATTACTTGGATAACTCGAAAATTTCCTGTGGTCATGTCGACTTCGAGCTATCTTGGTTGGACTGTATGTATATATATCATACAAGTAAACCACAAGTCCAAATCAATAACTTCCCATGAAATGCTTAATGGATCGTTGTCAAAGCCTGTCAGCGCATACTTACAGCTTTCACTGTACTTTTTACAAGTATCACTTGCTTTCCGCAAAACGATACGATAATGATAAAAAGCAATAGTATAATACATTATGATATGTGCTTAATGTAATTATTCAAATTATGTCCCGTAGGAATATTTAGATTCTGGTTTGTATTTTGTATAATTATTTAGATTCCGGTCTGTATTATTAGGATTTTAAAGATTCTGTACTGAATTGGTAGGATTTTAAATAGTCTGGTCTGTATTAGTAGGAGTTTAAAGATTCTGGTCTGTATTGGTAGGATCTTAAATATTCCGGTCTGTATTGGTAGGATTTTAAAATTCTGGTCTATATTGGTAGGATTTTTATGATTCTGGTCTGTATTGGTAGGATTTTAAAAATTTTCGACTGAATTGGTAGGATTTTAACGATTCCGGTCTGTATTGGTAGGATTTTCAAATTCTGGTCTGTATTGGTAGGATTTTAAAGATTCTGGTCTGTATTGGTAGGATTTTAAAGATTCTGGTTTGTATTGGTAGGATTTTAAAGATTCTGGTTTGTATTGGTAGGATTTTAAAGATTCTGGTTTGTATTGGTAGGATTCTAAAATTCTGGTCTATATTGGTAGGATTTTAAAGATTCCAGTCTGTATTGGTAGGATTTTAAAGATTCCAGTCTGTATTGGTAGGCATTTAAAGATTCTGGTTTGTTTTGGTAGGATTTTTATGATTCCAGTCTGTATTGGTAGGCATTTAAAGATTCTGGTTTGTTTTGGTAGGATTTTTATATTCTGGTCTGTATTGGTAGGATTTTGAAAATTCTGGTCTATATTGGTAGGATTTCAAAGATTCTGTTTGTATTGATAGGCATTTAAAGATTCTGGTTTGTATTGGTAGGATTTTAAAGATTCCAGTCTGTATTGGTAGGCATTTAAAGATTCTGGTTTGTATTGGTAGGATTTTAAAGATTCTGGTCTATATTGGTAGGATTTCAAAGATTCTGTTTGTATTGATAGGCATTTAAAGATTCTGGTTTGTATTGGTAGGATTTTAAAGATTCTGGTCTATATTGGTAGGATTTCAAAGATTCTGGTCTGTATTGGTAGGATTTTAAAGATTCTGGTCTGTATTGGTAGGATTTTTATGATTCTGGTCTGTATTGGTAGGATTTTAAAATTCTGGTCTATATTGGTAGGATTTTAAAGATTCTGTCTGTATTGGTAGGATTTTAAAGATTCCAGTCTGTATCGTCCTTTACATAATCATTTCCGATGCAGCATATGTTTTTTTTCCCAGATTTTGATGGTTCATTCGGAGTAACTAAGATGAGCAGCTTCGTGTTTAATTCCTCTACTGAGTATGACATTCTATTTGTCGCGGGAAGCTTTAGCAATTTGTCGCTATTTAAACCTCTTCGTTACGAGATTATTCTGGAACAGCCTATAATCAGCTGTGTAAGTGTTGGTAGGCGTGATACGGTCCCCTATCGCCATATTGATTGCGTAAATCACCACAAGGATGAATTGTTACTAATGAATTTATTCTTTCGATAATTCGCAACTATACCTCTCCATTTATACGTTATGATATTGAATTGAATATTCTTTTTTATTTTATATTTTTAACCCTATGTTATTCTGTTGCAGAGCAGAAAAGGGAATGCATATTGATTAGGAAAGGAAAAACACACACTAGAGGGCGGCTACTTCTGGGGGCAGATTCTGAAGGAGGCTTCCTGGTAATTTAGCATGTGTCATGGAATCGGTGAGGGAATGGCTTTTGAACAAATGTAAAATAAATGCCTTGGTCAACCAGGACCAGGCAACAACTGGTAACGGAAATGACTACAATAAACAGCTTTGTGGGGCATTGACGCCAAAAACGATCCCTGAATTTGTTATTCCGAAGTCTGGTGATTCTTCCCGGAGGCAAAGTTCGGAATTAGAATCTATTGAGGAAGATGTTCCTTTCCGAGGATTTTCCCCAAGAAATAGCATTGCTTCTTCCGGTAAGACAAGTCCAGTGCATTCTCCGATGGGGTCGAGTACATGCCTTGATGTGCCTAAACATCCAATTTCTCGATCGGTTCCTGTTTCTCCTAAACATGAGGTGAGGAATATTGTTTGTCAGGGAAGCACTCATTCCCTTGCTTATAGCGACAATGGCGACGACTTTACAAACTCTGACCCCCTTTCATTTGCCGCTATGTCGCTTTCCCACTTCCGCACGAAAACTCCAGCATTTGGGTTCACGACGCTCACTCAATGTCCTCACACACGGCGGAAGGAGTCACTTTTTCACGCCGGAAGTGATTCTCTTATCCCATACAAACGGACAAATTCGTTCGAAGGCCTGCGCGTGCGTTACGACAAAGATTGGCCACCTACGTATCATCTATCCGATTCCAATGGATTGTCGTATGACCAAACTCAGATGCCAGCTGTAATCGTCACACCCTCTGCTCAAACAGATGTGGACGAGACGTCCGAGAAACAACGATCTTTTTCAGCAATGCACCTGTCAAATTCGCTTGATGTTAACTATAGTTTGCCGTACTTCAAATCAAAGCTTAAATACTATCGCCGTCGGTCATCCTTACTTGGGCTTGACGATGAAGTAGATGAGTATTCAGATTCGAGCAGTACTGATATTAAGCGCCGATCAATGTCAGCCCTTTACCCTTCTTCAAAAGACCCACCTGCACAAAAACGACATTCCTCTCCACAACTTCGCACTTTGAACGAATCTTTTGAACAATCATCTCTACCGAAACCTCGCATTGCATTCGGTGATACCCAGTGCCAGTTTCTTGTGCAGTACGGAGAGTTGAAATTTGCCTTCCAGTATCTTGCGAAATCGAAACAGTTGAAGGTTACTATATTGAGGGCGGAGAACTTAGGTGGGCACGGAAAAACAGATCAAAACATGAATGCTTATGTCAAGGTGTACTTGTTGCCAGGAAAACTTCAGAAACAATCCTCAGATATAATCAAACACACACGGTGCCCAGTCTTTGAGCAGGAGTTCTACTTCACTGGATTAACGCTTGAGCAGTTGCATGCGATGACACTGCGTATAAAGTTGTTTCACAAGGGACACAACCTCCGACTTCCGGAATTCATCGGCAAGGTTGATGTTAACCTAGATAGCTACGACCTTCTAACAGAGAACCGGATGTGGAAGGACTTGGACATAAAACGAGACAAAGAGGTAGGTTAATGTCATAACGGAAGTGGTTTAATCAAGATAATAACACTATAGTATACACACCTCTATGAATCAGATGTGAATACAAGTATATAATATTCACAATTATCTATTGTAAACAAACGGGAATTGTAATAATGTTGAAACTAGGTAAAAGTATGTGTTTTAACCAGGATGTGTTACTATCTCAGGATACGTAATATTCACCTGAATAACATCAAGTTCGGTTAGTTAATACTAAAAAGGACAAATAAATGAGAGAATTTTTCTAAAATTTTTAAATGATTTTGAACCAAATATTACAAAAAGTGCCAAAGAATGTTACGTTAAGAATGTATAAAGGTTAGATAGCGAAACGTTCTAAAATCTAACTTCGTTCTGGTGATGATGTTTGGAAGGATAGATGATAAAAAGTAATTAACAAACAAAACAGATGTGTGAAGATTATCATTTTCGCTTATATTTCTTTTTTTCCCCGAAGAGATCTTATCCACCAAAAAATGATACTGAGAAAATTTCCCCCGTGGGCCTCAAATATCTTATCAAACCTTTTTTGCCGAAGTCCTAGATTTGATCTTGTTTTAAAATTGAACTTTTTTAGGAATATATGCATTGTTAATAAAATATTTGGGGATTTTTTTTTTACCAAAACGATGTGCCATTGTGCTCATTTATTCTTTTATGTATTTCTACAATTTCCGCCCAAATATTAATTTTACTTGGCGCTAGAAAAAAAAATTTGGACCTTGAATTAAGAAAAGTGACCAACACAGTCCGATCTCACGTAATTCAAATATGTGATTTGTGTTGATAATTTTTGCAAAATTTTGTTGAATTCTACCAAAGACTTTAAGAATGATTTTCAGGAGATCTAATCACGACGACAATTACTTTGTCACAACATGAAGTCCACAAATCAATACACGTTTACAAAACGTTGTACTAAGCACTCTACACGCGGTTATAAGTACAATAAAGATAGCAAGGTATTAAAACAGCGAAAACCTTAGACTAACAGTGAAATTTAAAATGAATAAAGTGTGACATTATCTCGGTTAAATATGTCTTTCATACATCCATAACTTATATGCCAGACACGATATGGGTCCGGGTGGATAAAGTACTATAGGGATGATGTATTGTGGAATGGTGACTATTCTTAATAGCACTTTATATCTGTAAGAAGCTTCCTGGTACAACACCCCGTTAACAAGTCTCAAAGCCACAAGTCAGTGATGTAAAAACACAGTATGAAAGCGTTGCATGACACAGGCCGTTATTTAGTGTTACAAGGTCCCTTGTCCTTTTCCTAAGACGTTATAGATGTTTAGTAATGCATTATAAAATGAGAACACGATTCTTATCATGTCAGTAAATACAGCCCTAATTACATAGTGAGATTACAGAGAGATAATGGAAATATCAGTCAACATTACAACGACCTCTTCGAGCAAGATAAACAACTCGACTAATTAAGATCAAACCAAAACTAATACACCACGGTCTCAACTTCACAAAGCCCTTTGATCATTTTCAGCTATTTTTGATGCAGAAATAAAATGAAAACGTGTTTTCGCAAAATACGAAAGAAAATCCTTTCAAGGTGTTTGCTTTTATTTGTATTCCTTGTACTGAATATAATTAGTTTAGTTTCTTTTTTGTGTTTTTATCCCTTTAGATAAATTCCCTTTACTTATACAACAGAAACACTATATATATATAGCGAAAGAACCTAACATGGCGTCATTATTTCGCCTCAGTGAGATCAAATCCAATAGAGTATAAAGTATGTCTTAGTACAGCAGCGATAACACTGTTTTTAATAATCTTCTTTACAGAACAAGTCTTCGTTCACGTGAATTTTGGTTGGGACATTAATTTATGAACTTACAAAATATTAGAACATGCAATCAGGAATAAATAGGGGATGTGTTTTATGGTTCGTTCGTCCGAGAGGCTGTAGGATAATGGCAATATTGTTTTTTATGATGAAACTGTCAATGTTTCGTGCAGTCCGCTTGGGACCTAGTTGTTATTATCTGTCAGACACTCTATGGGCGTAAATTTAATCGGATGACACCAGTCTTATGAACTCAAAGGCAAAATATTTGATGACAACGGTCGTAGTTTTACCTTGGGATGGACTAACTGATGCTGAGCTCTGATCGACTGGAAAAGTAGCAACATTTTGATACACGGCTGATAACAAGTGCATTTGATATAATCAATTTGCAAGATACAAATTAATTTTAAAAAAATAAATGAAATAAAAATTGAAAAATAATAAAAAAAAAAAAAAAAAAACAAAGAATATCTATGTGTGATATTTTAGGTGGATTGGAAGTCTTACGTGTACATTTTATCACAGAGTGTTCCATACATGTATATACTCCCTTTACCATTGATATACAATTTTCGTTAATATATTATGTACTAATAGTTTAACAGTGTCTATGTACACAGAAAAACTAACATAGCTGCGTCATTGTTGAAGCTAATGGACCAACGTTAAGTTTTAGGGAGCTACATAACATATGCTAGTTCTTCACGTGCTGTAAAACTTGACGAGTACAGATTATGGTGAAATCTTTTTTGTATTTGGAGACTGAACGGTGATGAATATTTGGTAGGCATAATATACATATTTCCTTATCGATTCCGTTTCAATATTATTATACTATTCGTCAAATGTTCTGATATGTTCTGACAATTTTAGTACAAATGAGAATGTAGAAGCGCTGTTTGAAGTTTGAAACATTTTTCCTGTCGCCATTTGCTCCCCATAAGACACGGACTTTACAAAAAAAGTAAGAAGAAAGTAGTAAAACAAGAAGTAAAAGATTAAGAAAAAGAAAGAAAGAAAGAAGATTAAGAAGAAGAAGAAGAAGAAGAAGAAGATTAAGAAGAAGAAGAAGAAGAAGAACCATTCTTCGAATGAAAACTGAAAATGTAAAGAGACCAATCATCGGATTGGTTTCAGATTCAGATCTACAACATAGAATTTCGTTTATCGGCTATCCTAGAACTTCGTTTATCGGCTATCCTAGAACTTCGTTTATCGGCTATCCTAGAACTTAACAGTTTAATATTTTATTCCTCATCCATTTGATCTCATTTGGAATTCACTGTCATGTCGGAATTATTGACAAAGGGGAACGCACCAATACATCACCTAATAAGGTAGTAGCAATCGATATTATATGGCCAACATCCTACAGACGAAAGAGTGGAAGTTGTCTTCTAGAAGCGTTCAATGCTGTATTTATTAAGTATGCTTAGTATTTTCAATGCATTTAAACATGTTTTTTTTTTATTTACGAGATTGGCTGTAGGCTTAAAGTCCTAGAGAATAGTATATAGTTACTGATGTACATGGTTGTAGATTTATATTTGTACAGTATGTATATGGTTACTGATGTACATGGTTGTAGGTTTATAATTGTACAGTATGTATATGGTTACTGATGTACATGGTTGTAGGTTTATATTTGTAAAGTATGTATATGGTTACTGATGTACATGGTTGTAGGGTTATATTTGTACAGTATGTATATGGTTACTGATGTACCTGGTTGTATGGTTATATTTGTACAGTATGTATATGGTTACTGATGTACATGGTTGTATGGTTATATTTGTACAGTATGTATATGGTTACTGATGTACATGGTTGTATGGCTATATTTGTACAGTATGTATATGGTTACTGATGTACATGGTTGTAGGTTTATATTTGTACAGTATGTATATGGTTACTGATGTACATGGTTGTGGGTATATATTTGTACAGTATGTATATGGTTACTGATGTACATGGTTGTATGGTTATATTTGTACAGTATGTATATGGTTACTGATGTACATAGTTGTAAGTTTATATTAGTACAGTATGTACATGGTTACTGATGTACATGGTTGTAGGTTTATATTTGTACAGTATGTATATGGTTACTGATGTGCATGGCTGTATGGTTATATTTGTACAGTATGTATATGGTTACTGATGTACATGGTTGTAAGTTTATATTAGTACAGTATGTACTTGGTTACTAATGTACATGGTTGTAGGTTTATATTTGTACAGTATGTATATGGTTACTGATGTACATGGTTGTGGGTATATATTTGTACAGTATGTATATGGTTACTGATGTACATGGTTGTAGGTTTATATTTGTAAAGTATGTATATGGTTACTGATTTACATGGTTGTAGGGTTATATTTGTACAGTATGTATATGGTTACTGATGTACATGGTTGTGGGTATATATTTGTACAGTATGTATATGGTTACTGATGTACATGGTTGTAGATTTATATTTGTACAGTATGTATATGGTTACTGATGTACATGGTTGTAGGGTTATATTTGTACGGTATGTATATGGTTACTGATGTACATGGTTGTAGGTTTATATTTGTACAGTATGTATATGGTTACTGATGTACATGGTTGTATGGTTATATTTGTACAGTATGTATATGGTTACTGATGTACATGGTTGTAGGTATATATCTGTACAGTATGTATATGGTTACTTATGTACATGGTTATAGGTTTATATTTGTACAGTATGTATATGGTTACTGATGTACATGGTTGTAGATTTATATTTGTACAGTATGTATATGGTTACTGATGTACTTGGTTGTAGGGTTATAATTGTACAGTATGTATATGGTTACTGATGTACATGGTTGTAGGTTTATATTTGTACAGTATGTATATGGTTACTGATGTACATGGTTGTAGGTTTATATTTGTACAGTATGTATATGGTTACTGATGTACATGGTTGTAGGGTTATATTTGTACAGTATGTATATGGTTACTGATGTACATGGTTGTAGGGTTATATTTGTACAGTATGTATATGGTTACTGATGTACATGGTTGTATGGTTATATTTGTACAGTATGTATATGGTTACTGATGTACATGGTTGTAGGTTTATATTAGTACAGTATGTATGTTGTTACTGATGTACATGGTTGTAGGTTT